ACTTTACGTTCAGTAACAGATCACCCATTTCTTTTTGCAGTTGTTCAGGTACATTCGGGTCCAAATTGCTATCTCTCATTAACAAGGTTTTTTTTTCATACAGTTTTCTGCATTTTCTTTTTTTTTTTTCACCTTCTACCTGGGGAACAACTTACAGACTGATGGTTTATGCTCTTTTAAAATTCAAGAGTTCTGTGAATTGTTTTCCACACATATGATTGAAACAAGTGCAGTTTGTGAAGTTGTCGCTTTCCAAGTTTTTAATTTCTTTCTTGAATGGCCATTTGGCAGGCATTGGCAATGGTAGTAGCAATTCTGCATGTAATGGTTTTACATTCTCAAATGTGTTATCTTCCTTTTTTTATTTTTGGAGAAATAGACAAATCAAATTTTGTTGATTCAAAATCAAAAGTTTAGAAAGGATCAGAATATTGTGAATCTGTACTGTTCTTCCTTACTGGCAGTAACTGTAATGGCATTTGAAGCTATAAGTTAAACTTGTATTATATTAAGATGTACTAGGAATGTGCTTGTACAGTTCAACTTGTCACTTTTAATATTATTTCAGGTGCAACATTTAAATGCAACAGACACATTTGGCCGTACAGCTTTACATGCTGCAGCTACAAATGAGAATGAAACATGTGCAAGGATACTTTTACAAGCAGGAGGTTTGTGCTAATTTTGTCATTTGAATAACTGAATATTGTTAAAGTAGGCTAGTCATATTTATAATGAATTCATATACCACTTCTGTGTAATTTATAATTTGAAGATTACCAGTCTAATAGGGTCAGATAAAATGTTGGGGTGACATTATAATTCTACTAATCTTAATCTACATCTTGGACTGATTTTTTGTTATGGCAGTACAGATTTGTCTTACTTGTAATATATTTAGTAACAGTACATATTATTGGTAAAAATTCCACATTGAGGTGCTATTTTCATAGCATATCTTTGATATTTTTAGCTTTTAACAATTGTATGAGAAAGACACCCTGCTTTTCTTTGAGTCACACCAGGGTTTCAACTTTGCCCATCTAAACCTTGGTCTGATTTTTTTCTCACTTGCTCCAGTCTTTTATACCCCACTCAACTGATCTTGGCAATATTTGTCTCATGTTACTCTTCACCTAAGTCAGCACACCCTCTATCCTGGTACTGTATATAATCACCTCATTCAGACAATTTTATCACTTTTTCTCAACAACACGTTTAGACATGGGTTTCTCTACAGAAGTGCTGTGACAGTTAATGTCCTTGGTTGCAATTTTTGCATTTCCTGGTGGCTTTCTGTATAAATTATACTTAATAATTATTAAAAAATAAATACAAAAATTGTGACACACTGTTCTTAGCCATGAATTCATAGGTAACTGTTTCCAGCACAGAGACTAATCAGCCCTCTTCTCTTCCACCCCTGTTATCTGGCATCTCTCAATGGTTGGGGGGGTCCCACTTAGTTGAGGCTGTCCATGATTAGCTTTGTTGTGAGATGGAGACATATTCGGTATGGGGGCTTGTCTCCAGAAGATTCTGAGGCTGCTTTTGTCTTTGAAACAGGAGAGTCTGATGAGAATTTGGATTCTCTCTCTCTTTTTTTTTCGGCACCTTCGTTTACTAGGTCAGTTTCTTAAAAGACCAGTTTGGATCAGCCACCTCCTGTTCCATGTCATAAGTTAGTCAATCGGGTTGGTGAGATTATGGGACTTTCTCCAGTGCCTTTGAATCTACTTCTTCTACCTTCAAAATTTTGTTGGAAGACTATCAGAACTCCCCACATCAATTTAAGGATGAATTGGGTCCTTTACTGACTTCTACTTTGGTAAAATTGTCAGCTTCTGCTCTTTCTTTGGTTACATCGTGGCTTGTACGTTGTTGGGATTTATTGGGTAGAGAGTCCTTGTTGGAGGGAGTTCATCTACCTGCTGTAGCCCTCCATGAGTTACATGAGGTTCCTTTTTTTCATCCCTTGATATTCGTGGGCATCCCAGAGTAATTGGGATCAGGAATTGATGTTGCCTGTTTGCATACTTCGTTGGCTTCTAGACTTTCTATAGCTCCTGCTGGAAGTTAAGGTAGGACTGCTCATTGTGTATTCTGATCCTCAATCTATTAGTGCTTAGAATAGATCCCATTCTTATCTTTGAGGCTCCTCTGCTTGAGCAGACTGTTGCCATTGGTGTTGGTGACTACCTTTCTGGACATCTGGAATTCTTTCACTACAGATGCATGGGTACTTGAGGTTCTGGTGTCATGGTTGGTCATTCAATTCACTTCTCCACCTCCATTATACTCACAACCAGTAGTATTTTCACCCCCAACAGACCTATGGAGTTTGGATCTTCATTCCAAGGCAGTCAAAGAGCTATTGGTCAAAGAGGCAGTAGAGAAAGTTGATCCCATTGTTCCAGGATTCTATTCCCATTTATTTGTTGTGCCCAAGAAGACGTGAGATTGGCGGCCGATCATCGATCTATCTTGTCTCAACCAATTCTTAGATTCTCCCAGGTTCACAATGGAGTCCTTTCTCATTCTACGTTGGTACTTTTCACCAGGTTTGTGGATGACCAAGTTCAATGATGCCAATGCATATCTCCACATTCCAATAGCGAAGTCATCCTGCCACTATATATGTTTTGTGCACAAGGGTCGGGTTATGCAATTCAGGGCTCTGTCCTTTTGCCTAGCACACCCATATTATTTTTATGATCTGGCATTTTTTTTTCTTCTGAAGGTTTTCACCTATCCCTTTTGGCCATTTTGACCACATCTCATAGTTTATAAGGAGGGGTGAGTATTTTTTTCATCTTTCTCTTGTCTCTTTACTTTGCTTTTGTCTGTCATCTCTTTTTTTCTTTACGGATCCCACTCTGTGCTGAGTTTTGCCTAGACAGGTGTGCTTTTATCAACAGAATTTCTCACTAGCAACCAATTTCACTATACTTACTACTCGATGCAATAGGTTCTGTTGAAATGAGGTGTTCCATAACACCATCTAGGAGCTCACCAGATGGTATTACCATTTTATGCTGGACTGCCATTCGTAGACGATCATGAGTAAAGCTAAAGGGGATCCTACCTGTTCCTGCTGATCGTCGGATTGAATGATTCGAGGTTGGTTTGTTTTTCAAACTGTAGGGAGCTTGGTTCACCTATTGCACTGTTTCCAGAGCACTTTTTCTCAGGACTCCCCATTATCCCCATCTGCATTACCCCCATATTCTATTTGTGGAGTTAGGGAGTCCTTACCAGACCTGGTTTCCAGTCACTGGGGTGGTGGACAGAGGCTTTTCCTTCTGAGTGTTTGAGTGATTTTCTCCACTCTTGGAGAAGGGGGCAAAGTTGGGGACCTTCCTACCCGTGTCCATGTCTGTAGGAGTGGCACCAGCCTCGGCAGGAACCTACTCATAATAACAGTTCAGATTTGATGCTTGGCTATCTGGTTGGAGTGTGCATGGCTCTTCCTTTGATCAATATCAGTTTAGTATATTGTTCATGGAAGGAGGTCCACTATCTCCTTGTAATTCTGAATGCATTGCGGTCCCATCCTGGATCCTTGGTTGAGCACAGTGTTATATTACATGTCCTCTTCATAATTCCAGGGGTAAGTAGAAAGATCCTTGCCCATGTAATTTGGGAGTGAGGATGAATGTACATGATTTCAGACCAGATGAGTTCTGTTTTTTTGGTTGAGTAAGTCGTACATGATCCTGTCATTCTGAGCCTGAGGTGTTGCCTTTCGGGCTCTTTAGGTGGAGGAGAAATTTTGTCAGCTTTAGTGTTGCTTACTTTCTCCTTGTGATTCTGGTGGTTCGGAGTGCATCACTCTATGGCTAAAGTTTGGGATCCAATCAAAAGTACATCTATAGAAAACATTGTGGTCCACTTGCCCTAGCCACTAACATGGGATACAGGGACTAATAACCCTTAATTACAACCCTTGGCTATCTTGTTCGGGCTGGCCTACAGTGATGATTATTCGTACTATTCCACCATTGATAGAGGAACTAAGTTGAGGGTAAAGAGCGTACCTGTTCTTGATGAAGTGTAGTTCCCCCACTCAGATACCACTCTTATCTTGGTACATCCTTGATCTATGCAGATGCTTTTTGTATTGATAATGACCTCATCAACCCCTCCACCTTCTTAATGAGGAATTCTAGTTATAAGTGGTAGTTTAGGTAAGTATGTTTTGGAAGTTAACATTTTTCTAAATTGAAAATGTATTTCCATTAATACTTACCTAAGCTGACACTATCCTTCCCTTATTCCCCACTAAGAGCTGATGTTAGAGACTGGGATGGTATCAGTCTCAAAAAAGTGATATAATTATCTGAATGAGGTCCTTATATACAGTACCAGGAGAGAAGGTGCATTGATGTAGGTGGAAAGCATCACGAGACAAATATTGCCAAGGGTAATTGAGTGTGGTATAAAAGACTGGAGCAAACAAGAAAAAATCTGACCAATGCATATATGGGCATAGGTGAATATTTGGTGGTTGAGTAATAGCTATAAGTGTCAGTGGAAGTAATTATTATTATCAGAAATACATTTTCAATTTAGGAAAATGTTAACTTATTGTACCCTGTCCACTGAGATCAAAATATATTTGTTTATATTTTATGAAAGGGAGAATTACTTGTACATTATGGACAATTTTATCTGATGTTTCATAGATAAACTTGTAGAATGTATGCTGTTGTAGCTAAACCTGTAAATGAAGCTATTTCACATGGTATTTTGTGTGATAAATGAGGCATATATAAGCGAGTTCTACATATGTAGCCTACATTAGTTCAGTAAGATGACCAGCTTTAGAAGGGATGTTAAGTGAGTGCTTATATTTCGGGGTTTTCCTTCAGGAGTGGCAAAACTAACAAACGTGAAGTTAGATGATAGACAAAGTTTACTTGTAATTGCAATCACAGGTGAAATTGATCAATTCCCATAAAGAACTGATAGGAAACCTCACAAATGAAGAATTGCAGGTACACCATGAGGAGTCTTCTTTGTTTAGAGTGTTAGAACAGTAAATTAGAGCAGTATTGTGAAGTCTGAGATCCATCTGATGGCCTCAGCTGTTGCCACTGATACCTCCTTAAAATCAGTGTTAGGGGCACAAATTTATAATGCATTAAATTGTTTTAGCTGGATGTCCACAGTCATGTGCAGGGGTGTTTTTGTGAGGAGTAATAGGCATACAACAATTGTCCACACTGACTCATTAAACTCTGATTTGGAAGTAAGCATTTTCATGTGCAAAATGCACCAAAACTAAACATTATTGGCTCCTTTTAGCAGAGAACATCTTTACAAGCCTTCGTTTCTGCAAAGAATTAAAATTGCTACGTGCTATCCAGACCATTGGAAGAAAAGATCCATAATCTGATAAATCATGTTTCCCCCTTTTTCAAACAAATGGAAGGGTTTGGTTATGGTATAACCCTTTGGTAGTCACTTGCTACAATTCGTTGTATGCAACATCTCTATTGTTATATTTCATTCCAAAAATAAAACTAGTGGATGAAATTGTTTAAAGTTTGACAAGAGTGTTCCTAAAAGCATCTAGTTTCATAAAAGTAAAACATTTAATTTAGATTTTTTTCTACTATATCTAATAAAAAAAATTTGTTATTTAATATAGTTATTTGCACTCACACTTTGAATAGTTCACCTGCAAGGTGATTTTTGTATGAAGTATAAAAATACTATAAAGTTGTCAAGAAATTATTGTCGCATTTTGGAAAGATTTCATCAACCACCCCCCAAAAAATGTATATCATGTATAATAGTTAAATGAACTGCCTAAACATCACGTTAGTGTAGCATATATATAATGTGTAAAGTGTAGTATACTCTAATCCCTTATAGCGATGGCACATGACAAGACACACATTCAGCATGTAATGCTGTTTGAATACAAGAAGGGAAACAATGCCTCTGTAGCCACAAAAAATATAAAAAAGTTTATGGAAATGTTTTGAATGTTTGTAAGTGTCAACGATGATTCAGCAAGTTTTGTTCAGGTGACTTTAGCCTTAAAAACTGTGATGGCTAGGGACCGACATGTTGGAATTGATATTGATGCTTGTTGAGTCTAATCTAAGGGAACACACTCGTGAAATGGCCCTGAAATTGCATGTCTCTCATGAAACAATATGTAAACATCTAAGCAATATGGAAAAACTCTATAAAGAAGGTGTTTGGGTGCCTCACAAACTTTCTGATGATCATTGTTTCCAACATTTGAACGTTGATTTTTCTCTTCTGGCACGTAATGCTCATGAACCACTTTGGACAGAATTGTCACCATTGATGAAAAATGGATTCTCTTTGCGAATATTAAATGCCAAAAACAATGGCTCAGTCCTAGACAAAAACCACTTCTGACCCCAAGACCTGGACTCCATCCACAGAAAGTAATGCTTTGCATTTGGTGGGACATCAAAGGAGTAATTCATTTCGAACTCCTCAATCCATAGCGAACTATCAATGCAGAGATCTATAGTCTGCAACTGGAATGTTTAAATCAAGCCCTTCATCAGAAATGCCCTTCACTCTTCAATCAGAAAGGTGTTCTCCATGAGAATGCACATCCACATGTGGCATGTTTGACACAACACAATATTATGGTGTTGGGTTGGCTGTTCAGAATGTTTCATAAAGTGGAAGTTTCCTTCCTGAACTGGTGAGTGCAGAGTAATGGCAATTAGGTTTCTAGGTGAAGACTACTTTCCTGTGATCCATGCCTTCTCAGTGACAAAATCTAGAGCATGCCTACTTTAATTTATGAAAAGTGCCATTTCCATGGGTTTAGAATCTTTACACTAGATAATGGAAGAGCAAATACACTCATTCAGAGGAAGTAAGTTATCCACAGTAATAGTATGAGAGGTCACTGTTCTAAAATTTTCTCCTCTATACATATTTGATGGTATTCTCAGATACGCTGATTTTCTTCAGAGTGAATGAGTAGAACCTACAAAAGCAGGAGATCCAATGGATACAAAGTAAAGGTTTGAATTACACAGTAGAGTGTGAAAATTGAAATAAGATTTAGTTACCTAAATTGCAAGTGAAAGTCTGATATCACTTTTCTGACTGTTTAATTTTAGCTTTTTTTGCATAATTAAAGAGTCCACCTGTAGTATGGTCTCATTTTCTGCTTTACCAGTTACTTTGAAAATAATCGGGGATGGGACTACATCACATTTACTCAATGACTGCTAAACATTGCTTGAACCAACCTTGAACTTAGGATCAGAGTGTTCTTTTAAATGATCTCCTGGTCTTCTGACAGTCGACCTGACATAAATGTGTTGGGTAAAAGAAAATCATAATTCACCTATTACTGTTGAGAAAAGTGGATTCAGCCTTTAAACTTGAACTTGCAAATAGACTGTTAAATATGGTATTTAATATCATATGGTTTTTGGTTGACTGTCAGAAGGCTGGGAGACCATTAAAAAAACACACTAATCCTACTTTCAAGATCAATTTAAGCATTATTTGACATGCACTAAGTGAATGTGATGTGGTTCCCCCCCCAATATGTTCAGAGTAATTGGTAAAAATGAAAACAAGACTATGCTACAGATGAAGGAGGTTTTTCTAATTCTTAAAAAGAAGCCAAAATTAAGCAATCAGAAAAGTGCTACTGAACTTTACTTGCAGTTTAGGTAATTGAAGTGTGCGTTTATGTCTTTGACCGTGTTCAAAGCAAAGAAAAAGACAGTACACAAAAGTATACAAGTTACAATCTTTAACCTAACAAACAATTAATGTTACGACAGATCAAAGTGCAGGCAACCTTTTACAGTGTGTGTGTATATGGAGTCTAAGAACCTTTATTATTCAGTGTTAGCTTCCCTGAATGAAAGAAATTGAAAAATTAAAGATAAAAATCATCAAAATTGAAAGCAAAAATTCAAATACTTTCTAAATTAAATCTGTAAGCTACGTAAAGTCTGTTAAAAGTTTACTAATATATTTAAGTCTAAAATATGTCTGTATTGTAGAGCCACATCTTTTATTTCTTTCAACATGGGCTTGGTTAATTTGACAGACCACATGACCTCTTTGTACTCCTTCAAAGTCTTTTTAGATTTTATACTACTAATGTTTAATATAGTGTGTATATTTTCATGAAATTTGGCAGCCTTTCAGTAAACATTGTCTTTCACATACAAAAAATCATATATTTTTAGTGAAGTATTCTTAATAAACTAAAAAAAGATCTGTTCTTGAATATATTGA